ATCAAAAAATATATATTAAAAAAATAATAAAAAATCAGGGAACATTTAATGCAGTTTTTGGGACACCTGAATAGACATGAAAGTCTTGAACATCTAGCTCTCACTGGCAAAATTGAGGGCTTGAGGGCAAGCGAGGCAGGGGTAGACCCAGAACAACATACTTTGGGAACCTAAACAAATGGGTAACAGGAAAAGATCAGGGAAACGTAACTTTTTTTAGAGCATCCGAGCAAAGGAATGAATGGAAAACCATGATCGCCGATGTCTGTCGCAGATCTGGCACTGGATGATGATGATGATGATGATGATGATGATGATGATGATGATGATGATGATGATCCAGTTATTTTAGACTAAAGGGTTCTGGGCGAAATATGAGGTAAAATGTCTCTCACGCCTTTAGCATCATTACTGGTTCTACAAGCAAGCTCCGGGCCACATCCGATCACGGGAATGCCTCTTTCGTAAGATTTTGGGCAACGCCTTCCCTGTCTATGAAGAATACATACACTTGATGACAAACGGCCTAGTGTAACAGCGTTCTCTATGTGGGGTCCAGCAGGCACTTTCCAAAGTTTAAGAGGCTGTTAAAAGTACGGCCTCGAGAGGCTTTCTCAATGTGGTCGCCCTTACCCTCTCCTTATTCCATCAGGTATATAAGGCGGAGAGCTGCAGTCGACGCCACGCTTGTCTGTCCCTGGCCATGTTCTTCAGTTTCGGCAAATCCAGGCCCTGGGTGTTTGCTTCATCCCTTATTGTACCTCTATAGCTTCCAGTTGGCCTTCCTTGTTTTCTATTTTCCAGTTGGTTTCCTTCCAATACCACGATGGGGCAATCTTGTTTTCGACAATCTTAGAACATGTCCTATAAATTTCTCCATTTTTTCCTTTTTATGGTTGTAGTTGATATTTTGATATTTTCAATTCCAGCTCTTTCCAACACTTCATTAATAATTTGTGATAAATTCATTCCATTTTATTAGTAAAATTCTTCCTAAACATTTTGTCAGCTTTATTTTTTATTTTCGTTGAATTGTTTTGTTTTGTTTTAGGCTCTCGGACTCGCAACCGTAAGGTCGTGGGTTCGAATCCCGTCAGGGGCCGACGTTGCGTCATTGGGAAAGGCACTTTACACGAGTTTTCCTCACTTCACCCAGGTGGGAATGGGTACCCGGCTATAGACAGCCAAAGATCTTGTCAGTTTGTTAGTGTTTGAGCGCTTAATCAGCTGCTTGCACTGTATGCTTCCCGGGAAGTTAAGAATGTTTCGGAGTGTTCTATGGTCTGCTGGGGTAATATTTAGTGTAAATCGCATAGAGCTTGCTGTTGAGCGGGGATATG